TCTTTTAACCCAAGCGAGGCGATAAATCCGCTAAAACCCAAGGGTTTAATGACATTGAAGGAAAATAAAAGAACTTGAACTTGACTAAAGGATAACAGTTGATGGCGTTTGACATTGTATTTATATTCTGAAGATCGAAGTTGACAGGAAAGTAAGAAGAAATTTCCACAAGCGAGAAGTGCGAGAGAAGAAACTATTAGTATATAGCTTACGATTACATCTAGTAATGACAACAGTAAAATTTGAGACCTAAATGCTAAACAAGTAATGCACTTAAATTCGTAGGACTAGATTTGTAGCATAGTCTCATCATTAGTTATATTTATTTTATTTCATAATTCATTTATTTCTTTTTTCTCATCTGTTTCTTCTTTGCCGTTCGTTTTTTCATTTTATCATGTCAGGTTACAAATCTATTTTGAAAGTTACAATTTTCTCAGATGATTACTTGGACTCGAACTTCTAAACCCAAAACAGGAAATGTCTTTATTTCAACCACAATGCACATACTGGCTCCTTTTTAAATTTTTTCTTTTCTTTATGAAGATTTCATCAAAACCTATGCACTAACCGTGCAACTATCAAAATATTTAAACGGTTAATACGTTTTTGATGTTGATTAACATTTTTTAATCAACAAGTTTTCATTCTACTTTACGTTAAATGAAGGTACAGGTAAATATTCTGTTAAAGAGAACGCAGGTGGGATCAATGGAGGATAATCAAAAATCTCAGAATGAGGCAGGTGACATGCGATCTGCACAGTAGGTGTGGCACACTCAAACTACTTGTACCCATGTTATTGTAAAATTCATTCACTCTTTCAAATAGGTTTTCTTTTTAAGATGTCAGTTTTAGCTGCAAAGTTGCTCCTCATTTCACCCCTTTGTTCTGCTTCTTTCATGTGAAATTTGTTTTGATATTCACAAATATAAATCTTTTTCATTATCCTATTGGCAATTTATTTCACGGTCTCTTGGATATAAATAATGATAATTGAAATGTAGCTTGCACAAAATCTTTATAATCTGGTCTTTTGGGAGTTGGATTACACAGTAGTAGAAATTCCGATGCGTTATTTTCGGGTGAGGACCAGGGGTGTCTACTATCGGACGCTAAACAGGTAGACATTAACTATATATCGTTTTGTTTACCTCTATATTTATGGAGGGAAACAAGCATGCTAATAATAGCGCTAAGTAGACACTTTTACGAAACAATCGAATAACTTTGTAATCGTGGGTACCTGCCGTAGAGTGATACTTAAATAAATCTCATAGTTTTTAATGCAGTGAATTCCGTTTTCACTGGGTGCACTGTTATTTTGTCAGGGTTTTTCTTTTTCTTTATCTAGGTCGTATCCCTTTAAGACTTTGCCGATCATGGCTCTTCACAATTTCCTATCGTTTGTAGCTCTTCGTAATTTCTGTCTTTTCCTCATCCATCTTAATCTCTGTTCTGCTATCTATTTGCACAAGCTTTTAGGTAGGTTACACGCTATTTCCCTCTGTAGCTCTTACCTTTAATATGTTCTGTGGGTGTCAAATTCTCCAGGTTTTCTTTCCTCATTATGTGTCCAATAAATTACAACTACATCTTTTTTAATTTTAAATATAAATCACTTTTTTGTTTCTATTTTTCTTTATAAAATTCTCGTTACTCTTATATTCAGTCTATGATATTCCATTTACGAGTCTTCCATTGCGGAACACCTTACAAATAACCGCAGTTTTGTGGCTAATTTCAGTGTGCACTCATTTTTCATCTTGAGTAAGTCCCATTCAAATTACCACCTTAAGATATTGGAGACCATATAGACTTTATCAATAAAGCAGAAAGATTTTGTCCTTGGTCTCCAATTGATTTCCATCTATTTTTTTTCTTTCCCTCAGATTTCATTCCTTTTACTGATAATATATATATATATATATATATATATATATATATATATATATATATATATTTAGCTCCTTTGAGCGAGGTTCGAAACCGGTTAGCTAGCTCGTTCTTCATTATTTTCTTATCATGTGTGGTAGTATTAAAAGTACAAATAAAATTTGTCTATTTATGGCGGTTATATATATATTGATGTGAGTTTGTGACCCTGGGTTTCACGCATTTAATAACAATTTTTACCGATCATAATTTTACACAGACCACACCATACGTATATACGTGCGTGGGAGGAAATATTATTTATCGAAAGAATAGAAAAATGGTCTGATGTATACATTCACAAGAAATATTCGCTACACATCCCATCTGTGAATTTCAGCAACCAAATGCGTATGTATGTAGACAACAGCACACATATACATACATATGTCAAGTCCCATACTGTCCACATGTGTTTATGTCTGTATGAGCCTCGTCGGGCGGGCGCGTATGTATGTGTGTCTGCGTACCTCAATGGGTGTACGGACATGCATCTATGTTTGCGTTAGCATGGGGACATCACGACGACTATTTTCCCCACACTTCCATAATAACACCAACACACGCAATCTACACAAATCCAAAATTTTAAAAAAATTATTCAGTTTGTCTGACGATCGCAAATGGGTGAAACCCAGGATCACAAACTCACATCAATCTAACCAAATATGTTAGCTCTACCTCTCATACTCAGCGCTTTCTAATAAGTAACGCGCATATAATATATCAATAATATTACGCATATATATATTTATATTTATATACACACACTTTTCACACACGCACATACACATAAACCCCCCATATATATATATATATATATATATATATATATATATATATATATATATATATATATATATATATATATATATAGCGCATTACAAATTTTTGGACGGGTTCTTCACACCAGAAAAATGTAAGAAATAATTCATATAAACATATGTTCGCAAATCATTCGTTTTTAAGTTATTAAGTATAAAGTTTCTGGTAGACACTGTTAAATGTACAGTCCAAGATACAATCCAGAAATACTTTTACAAACTTTAGGGGTTTCTTGACACCAAATCACGGTAAAATGTTCATATAAGCATATGTCCAAAAATCCATCGCTGTACTTCAATACAGCAATTAATAAAAAATGTTCAAAATGTTCTCTGCTTGCTTCTAAACACATTTGCACCCGTCGGACCTTGAATGACGGATCCTTTCAAATACTCCCACACGGTGTCGAATAGTTTCCCAGGCTCCTATGACATGTTGATGAAGCGTTTCTGCATTATTAATGTCTGCCGCATAAGCCAATTGTTTTAGGTGGCCCCACAAATAAAAAATCAAAAGGGAGTGATGTCGGGGAAACGTGGAGACCATGGGATCAGTTCTCTTATACCTATACATCGTCCAGCGAATAATGTGACTAAAATGTTCTAGAGACCCATCGTGCATGGACCACGTGCGTCTTTGTATTAGCAGGGATAAGTCCTCTAGCAGGTCTGGAAGTGTGTTCGAAATAAAATCTCTGTAGAAAGCTCCTGTAATACGTGCTGGGAGAGTATATAGATCTACCAGACACTTACAATTCCAGCCCACACATTAAACGTAAACTGGTGTCTAGCCTGCATTGTACCATGGGGATTCCAATCCGCTCACAAATGTTCTGTAAATTTGTTATTCCATCTCTTCCAAATGTTACCTCATCCGTAAACAAAACTGTAAAGACAAACAACAGAACGGCAGTCTGTGCAATAAAACATCGACAAAAGATATCCCGTCATGAGTGATGATAGGGCGGAAGACACTGTACATTGCAAATGATAGGGACATAGGAGCTGCTCTTCAAGTATTCTCCGAGCGGTACTATGAGATGTACGACATGCTAGAGCTACTCGACGTGTGCTAATACTTGTATTGTCATCGACAGCTTGTAGAATCCGTTCTTCGTGGTCAGGCGTAAGAGTGGATCTCGGTCTTCATTGATACATTGTTTGTGGATCCCCGACAATAAACAGCAGCAACGGAAATGCAATCTGATACAGCTGTGCAGCCTCGCGTCCATTATCATTCACGTGGCCGTATGTAAAAATCATATCTGCTTGCCCACGATATAAATATCCTGCCATTGTTAAACGGAACCCTTAGTTAACTCACTACTACACACGTTAAATGTTGATGATAAATTAGCCACAAATGTACACGAATGACGACTGTAACTTAGTCTACATGTCAACACAGCACCATTATCACTTTAAGCTTAATAACTCAAAAACGAAGGATTTGTATACATACATGTATATAAACTTTTGTCCTTGTTTTGGTGTGTTGAACCCACACTCAAAATTTGTAAAAGTATTTTGTTATACCCTATATATATATATATATATATATATATATATATATAAGCGTGTGTGTATGTGTATGTGTATGTGTTTGTGTGTGTGTGTGTGTGTGTGTGTGTGTGTGTGTGTGTAAATGTATGAGCCAATCAGAATATGAATTTGTAAATTGTCAAGGTCTTGCACAAAGCATGATAGTCGATTGGTCAATTCCATCTATTCTTCGTAAAAGCAACCCTTTTTCCGAGCAATAAAAGTGAACAATATAAACCATCCGACGTATGTATTTTTGTCAACTTCCATCAATGTCCACATGTTGCTTTCACACTCTTTTAGACACGTCAATTTGCTATTACTCCCCTGCTCTTCTGATGAACATATTCTGAAGCTCTCACATGAACCGGAGAAGTAGCAATTAACTACATATATGTAAAACGCTTTCTTATTCAACTGTTGAATTTTGATAGCTGTTATTAAATAGGATATAATTTCGATAATCGATTATTTAACCTGGCTTACTAGGGTTTATGGAATAAAATTTAGTTCGTTTTCTATCAAATCCGAGAACGGTTCGTTGCTGAATGGTTAAAGTCTAGATTTACTTCCTGAAATAATGATCGGAGATTTGGATTAGAAAATCAAAGTAAACTCACAAAGAATATTCTTAAACATTAAAAGTTGGATAAAATCATCAAAATATTTAAAAAAAAAAAAAAAAAGGTTGTAATTATT